TTCTATAATTTATAAATTGTATTTTATTTCTTTTAATTAAACTTTTTTCTTTTAATTTCTTTCATATCATTCTTGAATTTTATGAATTTAAAAATTTGTTTTTTTCTACATTATTTTTATTCGTTTAAATAATTTGTTTGGAATATCTCTTAGGAGCCTTTATATTTTTTAGTATAATCACTCGGTACGGTTTGTTTTAGAATATTGTTATTTTCTTATTCGAGCATAATTTATGCTATTAACTTTTGCTGAAAATAAAAATAACTTCTTTGTGCGTCTTTCTCTCACTTCATTCTATACACCACCGGTTGCCAATTTTAGTGACTTCAGTGCCTCATTTAATATTTCTGTTTCTTTTTTCTACTTTTCTACTTTTCTGGGTTTCTAGTTTTTTTTTCGTTTTTGTTTTGCTGCCGTTTATCGTAGCAAACGAGTAGCACGTGTAATATTAATAACAGTAGATTGCAGATTGAGAAATTAAATTGACCCAACCACCGCCGCAAGGGATTCAATATTTTTATGACTTCGTTGCGTGGAAATAACAGTTATATATGCACTTGAATTTGTGCGCGTGGTGACAGCAATTGCTTTGTGGTTGGAAGTAATCTGCTTACTAGGAGTACAGCAAGTGAATTGATATTGAAAGCAGCATTATATGATATACATATATGTATACTTTTGTCTATACTTATATTCTTTATTGATAGATCGGATCGATATTGAACGCATAATATTTCTTTAATGCATAAATAAATCTATAGCAGTTCTTATGGAGCGATTGCATAAATTTTGGTACCATTTTAAGTTTATGGGGTTAAATGGGGTTTTCAAGAAGTGTATGAGCCGATTTCGATAGTTTTCGCATAAGCGTTATGATATTTTAGCAGAACAACTGCCGTTATGTTAAATTTCAATACCTTTTTCAATACCTTTATTTTTTGGTGTCTAAACTAGCTTTTGCCAAAGCGATTAGTTCATGATTATTTCAAAATTGTGCAAAAAAAACATTTACATAGTTATCTCTACAAGCTCGCATTTTTAGTGGATGGATTACTTGATTTCACCTGTGTTTTTGTGAATAACTCCGATTTTTGTGAGTGACAATCGATATGTATATATTTTACTTCATATTCGTAATCCAGTCAGTTCAAAAATCTCGTTAATAGTCCTTAATTTCACCCTGACCTTCAAGATATAGAAAAATAATAGAATAGGTCTAAAAAATATATTTATAAAATAAAATTATATTTGTTGGTACATCATTCGTTCTCCAGGAAGGGAGATTTGCCAATAGTAGTAATATAAGATATAACTACACAACTGTTTTATTATATTGAAGGTTTTGCTTAGCATAGTTAGATTTCATCGTTTTTTCTATAACTAATATACTAAAACCTCGTGCCTATTGGCAAAATAAGAGCAAAATTGAAAAGCCGACATTCATAAGCTTTTATAGAGAAAAATAAGAAAAATGTCTCAAACCAAGTTCTTCGAGTTTCTAGTCAGTTACCACCGATGCAGGAGCAAGCCGTTGCCCTGGCGGAGCATAATTCCTCTCCGGTTGGTCAAAACTAGTCGCTTTTGGGCGATTGATTCCGAACTAAGAGCGAAGTATTATGGTAAATGCTGTAACAAATAAATAGCAAATTTTCAATCCAGGAGAGACCACCATTTGCTTTCGCTGGATATTGTCGTAGGTGACCCACTACACTACCGCGAAATAGAGATTACTAAAGCAATCTATTGAAAAAGTAATGGAATTCTTTTTACTACAAATCATATATAACATTTAAATCTACCAGCATCTGTTGTACATATAAGCTTCACCGAAAAACGTTATCCACCATTGCACCCTTTGAGAAAATTCGATTTTGGAGGCTAACTTCGAAAAAGGGAGACATTTATTATTTTTTTCTGGTTCCATCTTTCAAACAAAGTTGTTCAATACCGACCGAAAAGTCGTTTATGCGGCTTAAGAGAATTATTTGCACACCAGTGGTTCCAGGAGACAATATGTGCCCACATCTATGAATATGTCCTGAATTTTACCATTATTATAAGAAAAAAGTCTTAATATGTTGTATATTGTTGTAAATTTCCACATATAAGTAATAATAACATAGTTTCACTCACCTTAGCACTTATTGAGTATCGCGGATTGGCGATTCTTGTGAAAAATTCTGCCAAAAGTATAACTTTGAATACTTTAGGTTTGTGCATAAGTCTCCTGGAATTGTATAAAATGTATAAAAAATTAAGTAAAAAATATTTTTATATACATAATACGCATGACTTATAATTACGAAACATAACTTAAGTAATTTTTACAGTCAAATGAAGGCTTCAAGATGGCTAACCGAAAAATTAAATTCGTAGATGTGGTGCGAGGAAAATAGTAATAAAACAAGTAGGGAAAGACTAAGTTCGGGTATAACCGAGTATTTATACTTTTGCAACTTGGAAGAGTAAAGGTCCGAAAAATTTTCCCTGGACTGGGTTTCATTAAGGAGATTTATATACAATCACCAATCATAGGAAGTAGAGTAGAGCAGTGTAATAGCCAGATGTTGGACAATTTGGATATCAGGTATATGAGGGCTAGGTTAAGTTTTCGAGCAAGGTAATCAATTTTAGGCATTAAGATCTTTCGCAGAACTTTTCTCTCGAAAACTCGCAACGTCGACTCTCCGTTGTTGACATCGTCCAAGCCTCTGTACCATATAGCAGGACGGGAATAATGAGTGACTTATAGAGTTTGGTTTTTGTTTGTCGAGAGAGGACTTTGCTTCTCAATTGCCTACTCAGTCCGAAGTAGCAACAGTTGGCAAGAGTTATCCTGCGTTGGATTTCTAGGCTGACATTGTTGGTGGTGTAACTCACATATTGCGGTAAAAAGTCGCCTGGAAGCTCGAAAATATTAATATTAGCTATATGGGGGCTCAGGGAAGTATTGATCCGATTCAACCCATTATCAGGATAGGATTTTCTGTGCATTTTCCTTGTATATCCCACACATTGACCGATATTTTCAGTCAAAAGTGAACCATAGATACTGGAGTCCGTACTAACAGTATTTGGGGCTGAGAATGTTAGTTGGATTTCGGCAACTTTTTCTCGTAAGTTATCATACTTTAAAGAAATTATTACTGCTCAGTTTTGTCCGGTTATAGTATAGTTGTTTCTAGTAAATAAGTTCTTCTATCCACGGTATTCACTAAAATTTTTAGCATAGTATAGTTTCCCTTGATAAGCGTTGAAATATAGCTGAAGCTTGTAATCAGTGTGTTGCCAACACACATTTATTTATACACTCGTGCTTAGAGAGATGCAAAAAGTAGGCAAAGGACACACTTGATTGACTCCTTAAAGCCTCTAAGGCAGGTTAAGCTGATTGGCAGCGCACACAGGCACTTGAACTCGGTCAATAACAAAAAACGGTGGATGTCAGTTGCCGGCATATTTATGTGTAAGCGTAAATTGGCACACACTCACGCCATAAATAACATATGTATATATACAAACGGATATGAAAAGACTTTGAGGCAAAGTGTATGCATGCGACACGCTTGCTTCGCCACTACAAGGAGGTCAGCATACAGAGTAAACTGAACAAAAAACATAAAAGTGTGACAAAATACCGAAACGAGGGAATACTTGCACAAAAATGTAAACAAGTGAAGAATGTGAGACGAATATGTATGAGCATATAAAATGCGAAATAAAATTTTGAGCAGCAATGACTGCATATACAAATGGAAATCCCCCGATAGAGTGCGTTTAGGCGCATAGTTTTGCAAATATGAGAATTTTACGTGTGTGATTTTACACACACATTCAAATGTGACTTAAAAGCAGAAACCCACTCATTTGCTGTTGCTGTTTCGCATTTTAATTCGGCTTATTTGTGTGATTATGAGTCTGAATAAGTGATAAAACTGCGTTGGCGCGCCTAAAATTATACCCTGCGGACGCGGGAGGCACTTGGTATTGTTGCGCTGTCATTGTTCTACTTATATGCAAATTATTGCAACTTCCGTTTCGTGTATGTAGGTTCCATATATTTAAAAGCTTAAAGGTAGGTAGTTAAAGAGATGACCAATACTAAATCCACTGACTATTATATCCTCTAGCCTTACATTCGCATAGAAGATATTTCATAGACTCTCTTCTACCTCCGAAAAGCTTCAAGTCCTTACTAGTCTATTGGCATGTAAGCCAACTAGATAGTGACCTTTTAGTACTCCGTCTAAATTTCTTAAGTCGTTACTTTTGAATCGTACCAGTCGGTATGTGCGGGCCGGATGTCTGTCAGGTTTGTCATTGAGCAAGCTAGAGATTGACTCCACTTAGACTCAACTATATCTATAACTGTTCGTTCACTATGTATAAGTAGCAAGAGGCATAAATATTCTCTCTGTTTTGGAAACTAATTGTAGGGTGGCGTTTGCTGTGGTTAGTTCAACTGCTTCAGAGTTAACAGAAATACCACTATGTCCTGCAACCTATTGCAGGATGGAACAGGATGTTAGATCCTCTCACTATTAATTAATTAATCACTTTATTGATTAAACGCTTGTATACTTTACTATAATCACACACAGAAATAAAGATCGAATGATGTAAAATTTATATGTAATTTTAACAACATAGTTTTACAACTAAATTATATTTTAAAGGAGACGTCCACTCCATTTTATTAAGGCCTGAAATAGATGCTGGTAGACTTTTGTCGAGGTTCCCTATACAATATATGCCAGATATTTGCAAAATCTTGATAACAGTTCCGGAGCAGCCGGCAACTTATGGACATTTATTTCATTTCTGTATTTCTTACTGGATAAATAATAATAAAACAAGCATAAAATGTAAGAATTCGTTACGAGATCAGCGTACTCAGCAATTTCACGGATCCCGTAGTGATAAGTATACCATATATGAAGGGCTTAGGGAACAGAGTGTGTAAGTTATTTGGAAGTTGTAATTGTTGACGAAAAACGATTTAAATGGAATTGATAATCGTTTCAGAGAAGAAAGTAAAAGGACTGAGATGCAATTTAGGATGGGACCACGAAATATAGTGTTATTTCAATAGAAGAAGAATAGTAGAACTTATGCGTTTGTCAATGAAAGCTTGAAAGCCCGACAATTATTTTGATTTTGACTTAATTATGAATATGTTATCGAGAATAGCATTTTACAAACCAAATGATTTCAAAACTTTTGGAAGAGAGGCACTAATTCGACAATGCTCTGATATTGAGAGTTCATCAAGTAAATTTGAATATTTCTGAGCATGACAAAAAGTCATCAAGCAATAAAATAAGAAGGCATCGCATATATATAGCTTAACTGCTCTCCTTGTTCCTTACCATAACTTCCAAAGTTTACCGAAAATGTATCTAGATTGATACCGAGTTAGTCTAACCTGATACTCAAATTTGCTTCTAGAATCTGACAGTTTGTTAGCATATTTTCAACGATTTTTTGATAATTTGCTACTTAGTGTTGCCTTGCAAATTTTCAACTCTTAACATAAAGCATTTCCAAGCCTCCATTTCGTGAACAGTTATAACCTTGATAGAATTTGTATATTTCATTAATTGCTTTATTTGAGGACCATCAAATTTTTCACCTTCAGATCTTCCATACTAAGTCCGAACATTTGTTGTTACTACAACAATATCCCTTCACGTCCAACGCTTTGACAAATTCTTTTATCATTCTTAATTTCATCAAGTATTAAATCAGTGAGTTCATTTTACGAAAATAACTTTTCTGCAGAAGTTTCACGTTCTTATACACATCCATTTGTAGACTGCACTAATATCTGGGTATTGGAGCACATCATTACTTCTGAATAGGAATTCTTCTGAAAAGTGAATGTTTACACAACATAGACATAACATAAACATGGCATAAATAATCGAATAATATTTTGAGCTATTGGAAAAAGGTTTCTAAACAACCTCCAGACTTTAATATCCTTAGTTTAGATGCAAAGACAGTTCTAAGCTTACATTTTTTTTGTTCTTTGAACATATCAAATAGACTTTAAAGCCAAAACAGGCAATGTTTCCCAAATATTGTATGTGTTTTAGAAGTTCATATATTCCCTGGGTCAAACCACGTCAAGTGGTCCATGAAAATCTCCGATTTTGAAAATTAGCAGTTCATCAAAATATTTCATAAAAATTCTTTTTGAAATTTAGAGCACATTAAATTGTAATTTTTTATTTTTTTATTTTAATTTTTTTATTTTATTAAAGCTTACATAATAAACAAATTATTATATAAATTAACGTACGCAGCGCTTGCATCATAGGCTTTCGGCTGAAATTGTAAAATTATATTCTCATAAACTACTGGAGATAAATCGATGAAATTTAGTGAAATCAAAGAAAATTGTCTGTCCTGTATTATAAATATTTGATCATGGTCCTTTTTTTAAATAATAATATTTTACATAATGTTTTGTTAAACAATTGAAGTTTTAAGTGCTCTTCACGCTCAAACAATTTAAAAGTATGTGACACAACGCGGAGAATATTCACCTTTAATAATGTGCAAACAAATTTTTATTCATTCATACCATTCCAAAGATATTGAATTCTTTGTTACCACCTATCTTAAAGAGTATGGCACATCGATCGTTGCGCAATGCGCTGATGTTTTTCTTGCGGCACAGATGACTGCGTATATACTATATATACTACACTCAGATAAATAATTTTATTATAAGTTCTGCCTCCCGGCCTATGTGCATGGAAGCGTTAAAATTGTGAGTAAACGTTTGATAATAGAAAATATTACAAACACACATGCTTAACATTTCTACTTACTACATAAATGTACATACATATGTATATTAGGGTAAATAAACGTAAACGCTTAACTTAATCGAAAAATCATTTAAGACCTTTTTGTAGAGCATTCAATTACCCAGAATATCTAAGGAACAGGACATTTTTTGAAGCAGTTTGAATCGAGTTATAAAGTTTTCTATACGATAATAAGAAAAAACAGAAAATTGTAAGTAGGACGACCTTCCCGTTACAATTAAGAACTAATTCTTGAAGAGGCTTCCTTAGAGGTGTCTAGAAACCCATTTTTCAGAGTATCAGCCGAAAAAAAAAAGAAATTTTTTTGAATCACCCTAATGTTTATGAAATGTGAGGTACAATAACACAAGTAGTATTCAAGAATGTCTCAAAGGCGCGTGTCTGGTGC